GGGGGGGGGGGGGGGGGCAAAGCCTCCTAAATTTCCGACAAAACTTTCAAATTTCCGACATACCTCCCCCCCATTTGCACTCGAAAAGACTGTTTTTAGCCCTCTTTCAGATCAAAATTTCCGAAAATTCGTCAATTTTCCGGAAGGTGGAAAATTCGTCAAGATTTCCGCCACTGTATACTTGCTATACTAGCTACTAGCCAACATCTCTACACCACAGACTGTGCAGACAACGCCTCATTCCTATGGTTTAAATGTTGGGACATAAGAATATTTATTAGTAATATTACATGTACAAAAGAAAAATGCACAATGAAAACTTTTACTTGCACAGTGGGTGATTTGGTTCCTTGATTCGTTTTGCCCTGGCATAGACCATTGTCAACAAAGCCATTTACATTGTTCTGCGCATCCAAATCCTTTGCTAATTTTTCGAATCGTTTCGCCAAGCTAGCAACCGATTCATGCTGGTGATCATTTTCTGACGTGTCCATGCTGTCCATCAATTACTGTATAACTCGAAGATCTAGACTATATACGTTTCAGTGACATGATTCCAGTGAGAAGAAAAACTAGAAAAAAAAATTGAAATACCTTACAAAAGAACGACTGTCGCCTTGTGAAATGGAAAATTCCATCTTTCACCTCGTGAAAATAATTTTGGCATTGTACTGGGAATCCAACCCGCGACCTTCGCATTTCTAGAACGATCATCCTCTATACTGTACGCGCGGTCTTTCCTACAAGACCTACAAGGCCAAGTTGCATGGCAACTAACATCGTTCCCAACTTGGCCTTGTATAGCTTATTCCCATTGGGGGAGTTCAGATACTTTTCAGAATACAATAGTCGTATAAACACTTAGTATGTACCTTGGTAGAAGATGATGTACCCTGTACTACGTCTACGGAAACACAACACTCGACGCGGTAGCTACTTTCATTTACGCAATTTGATTATAAACGATTACCACCCGTTTTTATTCGCCATATATTGACATAAATAACAAATTAAAAGTTGTGAACTACACACTGATTGAAATTGTAGAAGTACACTTGCTGTTGAATAACCAATACTATAGGAAATAGACTACTAGGAAAATACTAAACAATACTAGGAAATACGATCTAATTTCTAAGTATTTGAAATACAAATAATAACAAAAAGCAAATAACTATATTCTGTCACCTGCTATTCGATCACATAAACATCACGCCTTTAACTTTGTATAAACCAGGGCAAAGTGTACAGGTTAGTTTTACTTGCACTATATATTGAGTCAAACAGCACCGTTCGAAAGGTTGCTTCTGATTGGCTCTCGAGCTAAGTTCGGTGGTCGTGGTGGTCGGCCAATGATATTGCCAACAATTTAACTTATTAATTATTGGAGTTGCATTGTTAGAACTGACACCGATTGAGTTTAACTATTATCTATTCAGGATGTAA